CCTGAATCAATGGTCCATTAATCTCATTTTGCCTACTCTAGAGGTGTCTCATGAGAACAAATTAGAAAAGACAGTGTTAAGAATCTAAATACTGCATCTCTCCTACCACTAGCTTATGACATGCACCTAACCTCCCTGTGACTCAATCATCTCATGTTTAAAGTTGGAATCATAGTAACTACCTCATACATTAACTCTGAGAATTAGAGTTACTATGTGCCAGTGCCTGGAACTATACATGTCATTGTGCTATGTGAGTTAATACATCACTTACTATAACAACTACATAACAAACTATTTAATTTTATATAGATTCTGTGACAGATATAGAATGATTATTACTATTAAATCATATGTGTAAAACATAACACATAGTTAAGACTCTGAAGTTAATGTCTGTTCCTGAAACATAAATGATCATCTGTCTTCTCAAAGAACATGATCCTGGGCAATCCCCTTCTCTTCCTGTGCTGAGGCTATTAGAGGTAAACAAATAAGGGTAGCAAGCGGTGTAAATTAATGATGAATTGGCTGGGTTAATATTTACTGAGTGGCTATAGTGGCTAGCATAAGGCAAGGTACCTGAAAAGAGTATTAATGAAGGAAGAATCCTTTCCTTCTAGAGTTAACACAAATTAATTATTAACTTTATGATTCATGCTACAAAAGAAAAACAGAGGATAAAAAAGGGCACAAATAACTATGAAAATAAGCAGATACCAGGTTGCATAGGGTTTTACAAACCACAGTGAAGGTATTAATAGGTTTAAATTCCTATCATGGTTTGTGTTGGTGGCCCCCAAGCCTCATGCCTTCGCATTATGCATTTGTGATTGGTTCATTGTCTAGCACACGGAATGGAGGAGTAAGTGCGACACCGGCCTAGGGGTGGAGCCAGGATGGCATAATGGCAGGAAGAAGGCATGTCTTGCCCTCCCCCTGGTTTCCTCCTTGCTGTTTGCAGCCGCCATGAACTGCGCCCCGCCATGCCACCCTGCCTTGGAGCCAACTGAGCATGGACCGAAACCTCCAAAAACTGTAAGAAATAAACCTTTCCTTTCCCAACTTTGGGCCTTAGGTATTTTGTCTCAGCAACCAGTAATAAGTAACTAAGAAAATCCCAAAGGGAAATTTTAAAACAGTGACATCACCAGAATTGCATAGAAGTAGTCTGGTGTGTGAATACTGTCTAATTCATGTCTGAGAGGAGGTGACCACAAAAGGGTCTTAGCTGCCATCTCGCTCAGCCTGCCCATGTGATTCCAAAGGTGTCTTGAAGTTTACATCTCCACCCGCACATCTTTTAGCTCCATGTGCACTCTTCCCTGAATTTGAAAAAAAGGGATTTTCTCAGAAGTATTAACCTAGAAAGATTTAAGACCCTAGAACCAGATCCAAAAGTGAAGGTGGGAAGGAGCAAAATGAGTTTTCAGGTGTAAAATAATGGGAGGGCTCATTAGAAGCAAGTGTGCTTCACTGATTGCTTCATATCCCTACTGGCGGGTAAGACACTTTCACACTGAGATGATCTGAAGCACTCCAGGGAAAAAGCTATCAGTACTGATATTTGAGATGTTACAACTAAAATGACAACTCAGTTCAGTTTTCAAATCCACATTACAGTGTTCTTAGTGGAGAGCCCAGGATCAGTACAGCTACAAGAAAATTCACCAATGTAAAACACAACTAAGGAATAGTTACTAGAGGGAAGGGGAAAAACAGAAATTGTAGAAAATTCAAAAAGACATAATTAATATGGTCAGCAAAATAAAATACTTTGAATCTATGAAATAAGAAACAAAAAAAAAAAGTCAGTAAACCAAGAAGTATACAGAGATCTTAGGGCTACCACAGCTAAAACTGGAGTATTTTAGTAGAAATCTCAGAAGACAAAGTCAAGAAAATCACCCAAAATTAGAATTTAAGAATTAGGAATAACAGAGATGGAAAATAGGAGAGAAATGAAAATTGGAGATTCAGTCCTGATGGTCAAAAATCTAACATAAGGATGTTTCAGGAAAGGATTTCACAGAAAAATGGAAGGCAGAGTGCTTTAAAAAGAACAAATCAATCGAATTTTTTAAATCTAAAAAGAGTCACAGATTGAAATGCGCACTGAGTATACATCAAGAAAATGGATAAACACAATGGAAAAAGAGAAGACCCCAAACCTTTCAGAGAAAGGATCTGGAGTCAGAACGGCCCTGAACTTCTCAGCAGAGACTCCCATTGATGTAAACCACAGTCGTCATCATCATGGCCGGGTGCATGGGAGTGGTAAGGCCATTTTCTGCATCACAGCAATATGTAAGTAGGCCCAAGCATCTACAAGTGATTGCTTAGACAGCTATGAGTCTGGGCTGCCTACAGAAGATAGCAAAGGAAAGGAATACATTTTAAGTCAGTTAAAATTTCATAGTTATCTCTGATGTTCATTCTGACTGAGCTGAGCTGTTCTGAGATTTCCCTCATTTTCCACCTCTGAGTTCCTGTGCTGGGATCGAGGTTAGTACACTTTCTGTCACTGTGACAAAATACCTGAGGAAATTCACTTACAAGAGGAGATACTGATTTAGGTTCATCATTTCAAGTGTTTTGTCCTTCATCACCTGGCTTTTCTGCTTCTGGGACAATGGAGAAGCAGAATGCCAGGGAAGGATCTTGTGCTGGAACAAAGTGGCTCTGGTCATGCAAAAAAGGCAACGAGAGAAGGGGGTGCAGGAACAAGAGCCACTCCAGGGATGCCCCAAGGACTTCCTCCAGCAAGGCCCCACCTGGCTTCCAGGACCCCATGATCTAATCATGTCCCCAAAGCCCCACCTCTAATCAACACTACAGTGGGGACCAACCTTCAGGAGATGAGCCTTTAGGGACATTTCAGGTTCAAACCATAACAAAGTCAAGTGATATTTTAAACATGCAGGCTTAGGACTGATTTTCACATCTTACCTTACAACCTTTTCCTTAAGGATTTGAGAAAGGCAAGGAAACAGGAAGACACAAGAATTGGGAAATGCTTGAAGAAATAGGGAAACCACATTTTGAATATTAAAAACTTGCCACCCCAGAAAGGTGTGCCTCTGGGCACTTCATCCCCAGCCATTTCCACCTCTGCTTCTAAAGAAGTTTTTCAGGAAAAAAATTAAAATAAAACAGAGACAGACTTGGGCAGGCAGCATTGTTTGACACCCTGCCTAGTGCACTGACCCTGACAATAAATGGTTCTCCACAAACAGCAGCACATTCTGCTCCCCTCTCTTCACTAGCTGAGTAATTCCTCCAGCACAGGTGTGTGGAAGTACTGCCAATGCAACTTGTATTGCTTACCTTTTATGTTCTTGGTAGGTGACATAGCAAAAACAAAAACAAGAAAAACAAACAAACAAAAAACAACTTTTAAAGAGAGCCAACCAAAATTCTTACCCTTCAGCGCTGATGAAGAAATGACCTTGAATGCAATTTCTGCTTTTTCAAAACCCTTACTGAGCTCTTAATAAGTGACAAATAAAAATGTTTTGATTCACCTGCTAATGAGCTGTGAGATGGTCCAAAGAACAAAGAGAAAAATCAAAACCTTAGTTTTCATTTTAGATGAGAGAAAATGCTGTCAGACAAACGGGTTAAAAAATGAATATCCAAGTAAAATTAATCCTTTTGTTGCAGAAATGCAATGGTGAGAGTAACAACAGGCCAAGAACAGCATAAACACCGGAAAGTTACTTTCAAAATTTGCTCGCTTAATACTTAGCGCTGAAATCAAACATAAGAGGGTCATTAGAGAGACCTTCTCACTGCTGCACTTAAGTAATTAGTGTGTGGAAGTAGCACAAAGATGAATTATTCCTCGGTCCTCCCACACAGCAGTTTGCTCTCATAGTAAATATGAAAGCAGAGCCCTGCATGGCAGGTTGCCTTTTCCTGGGCTGACTGCATGGTAGCACAGTGGACAGGGTCTCACTGAGGATGTGCTACTGGGCATACAGCACATATTCAGTATTTTTAAATTCACAGTGAATTTATTTTTAATCTAAAAATGAAATCAATGTCACACACAAAAAGCAAACCAAATGAATCTTGCATTTATTTCTCTCAATTCGTAATTCTCACAATAGACCTGGTTAAACCAACTGCCCTATGAATCAAATCAAAATGGTTCAACTAATGAATGCTTACCTAACTACCGGGGTTTTGTGTCTATTATTGATAGTAAGCTTTTCTATGGAGTCCCTACAAAGGAAATGATGTATCCTGTACTGGCTAGCAGTTTACAATAGGACTACTTATTCCACTAATACAGATAGACTAAGCACTTCGCGGCATTCCACTTCAAAAATAATCATCCGGTTATGATACAGGGATCAAACTGTGTGGAAATAACTTTAAAACTATGTCTATGCTTAACTGTAACTTTGTGGCATATATTTACTAATTCTTTTCAGTATTTAAGTCACTAGCAAAAGGGCACCAAGTTACCCATTCTCTATTGCCAATCACATTATTAAAAACAGAGTCCTATCTGAGTAATAGTACAAAGGATATGTTTCCTTTGGTAATCTACCTAACCTGGCTGAAAAAGATCAAAAGCATTGCATTCAAATGCACCTCTTCATGGTATTCAGTGTGAAAAACTGAACTGAGTGAACAAAAAAATGCACCTTATGGAGAATTTGACCACTAGTAATAGCCCTCCTGGTAAAAAATATTCTCTATCCCTGAGCCATTGCTGTTAAAAACCGTTTTAAAAATATTTTACAGAAATGTGTTTTTATTCTTTTTATAGACGTATGGTTTATTTACTGTTTTCATTTTTATTTATTTATTTTTTCTAGGATGACTTTTGTAGAAAACCAGGACGGGCCAGAGTACAGAAACCGGAAAAGTTAGCGAGAGGTGCGACTCAGAAAAGTACAGCAGTCTACAGCACACCCAGCGAGCTCCTCTGCACCCGGCCTGGCCCCAGCCGCCCTGCGCGGGATTGCGCGCTCGCCCCCGCCACGCGGGGCCGCACCGCCAGCCAGACGCGCGCGGGGCCGAGGCGGGGGCGCCTCTCGGGCTGGGCCTTCGCACGTGTGCGCTGCCTCCGCCCCTAGCGCTCCTGCCCTGAGCTCAGGCTCGCCAGGGCTCTCGGGCGCGGCGGGAGAGTTGGCACAGAGCTCGCCGCGCCCGCGCCTCCCGCCCGCCTGTGCCTCCGCTCCCGCGCGCTGCGCTCGCCATGGGGCCAACTGCGGGCGCCTAGGAGTTCGGGCTGCGGAGCGCGCCCAGCCCAGAGCTCTCGCGCGGGCAATGGCATAAGGCGCGACAGGGGTCCACCTCGAGGTGACCGAGAGGGGCCGGGCTGGCCGCCGGAGGAGCACAGCCCACGATGAGTTTCCGCCAGGAGGACGGGGTGAACAGCCTGTGCCAGAAGGCGCTGCACATCGTCACCGAGCTGTGCTTCGCGGGCCAGGTGGAGTGGGAGAAGTGCTCGGGCATCTTCCCGCGCGGCGGCCAGACCGAGGGCGGCACAGGTAACCGCTGCCGGGACCGCGCCCCCCGCCTGGTGCCCGCTGCCTACCTCGGTCGGGAGGGGGTCGGAGCTGGGTCGTCCCGTCTGCCGCCCGCTTCCCGCTCCCGGCTCCGCGCTCCGCATGCTCCGCGCGCCCGGGGAGCTCCGACCCACGAGGGGGCGACCCCGACCGCGCTGCTCGGCCTCGCGGAACTCGGGTGCCCGGCTAGTCCCGCGGGGCTCGGGTCACGGCGCGGGAGTTCTGCGTGGACGCGGAGGACCCCGGGGACCAGGGGCCTCCCTGGAGCGCTGGAGTGGTCGGTGTCCCCCCCCCCGGAGGGGTAACTTTCGGCTGCAACCTGTCCAGCGCTGGAGAGCTTTCCAGCCTCCTAACACCGCAGGATGATTTTCTGACCCTTCTCCACAGCGATGCGAGGCAGTAGGGATTATAGGTCCCGTTTTGAGGCGACACCTAAGGTTTAGGACTCAATTCCAGGACGTAAACGAGAGAAGAGGTAACGAAGACTTTCCCCGCGGTTCTCACACAGGGCAGCGCACAGTGCGTCCTCCCGGGCCCCTGGGCAGCAAGGGAGAAGAGGGTGGGAAGACCGCGCAGGTGACAGGCTTCTCTCAAGGTTTGGGGACCAGGGCTAATCACAGCCACCGTTTTGGTGACTCCTGTCACGGTGTGTTTGCTGTACTGTGCTCGGGGGCGACAAGGACACGGGCGTGGGACACTGGGGACGGGCGCCTGGCCTGTGAAGGTCGTGTGTTGCACTGCCAGCAGTGGTTTCCAGGTTTGGGGCGTCTAGCCAGGAGGTAACCTTGCCTTCCGCAGGGTCTTATTTCCTCTCCGTGGCTTTCCTTTGGCCCCCTGGCGGAGCTGCTGAGTTAAGGGTAGCCAGGGCAACAGGTAGGACCTAGACCGCAGGCCACCAGGGCCCGAGAGCCTGGCTGGGGAGGAAGCCGCGCGCTGACTGACTCCCCTGACACCCACTCCGCAGCGAAGAGAAAGGAAAGGAGAGTGGCCGGGTGGGACTCGGTTTGGTTTGGCTTAGCTGGTTCCTGCCTTTGTTTGCAGGGATATGTGCTGTGCTCTGAATTCTCTGATGGTTAGAGGGTCTGTCTGTCTGCCTTGGGCAGAGCCCAAACCACTGCTTGGATCCGCAGAAGAGTGGCACCGACTCTTAACTGCTGCTGTACGCACGCCAGAAACTTATTTTGGGGATGTATAAACTCAGCGGAGAACTTTTCCTATTTATTTGTTCAGTAGGTGTTAAATTCCTGGGAGAGGACAGAAATGAAAATTGTAAGGGACAGGGCGAACACTGTGTGGATGTGTGCCAAGGGCGTTGTGCTGCCCTAAAGGAAAGGCTGAAAGGTGCGACCCTGGAGAGTGGTACGGGATACTTGCTCTGAAATGTCCTTAAATGCTATAAACGTTTAAACTGAAACCCAGGGAAAGGGGTACACGCAGGACCTGGTGCTGGGGATAAACTTAATTCTTCCTCTCCCCTGCCACGTTGTGATCACACACCAGTGTTTTCCTGCAGTGAACTGACTGGTAATGTCAAAGAGGAGTGCAAGGTTGGAAACAGAGCACAGTACAGTACGGTACTAGTTTCTAAATCTTCCTAAAATGTTTAAGCAAGTTTAAGGTGAAACAGACAATGAATTGTACTGAGCATTCTGAACTTTTCCTGAGCACGATAAGAAGTACTTATAGTATTAATTTCTTTTAAATTTCCCTTGGGAACAAAAAGTGGGGAAAAATTAGTCTAAAACATTTGCATGGAACATTTTTCTCCCCTTAAGGGGAAATGCATTCTACTCATATAGAGCCTTTGATTTAACATGTGAATGTGCATTTTCATGACTATCTGGATGGCAGATGTTTTACTCACTTATGAGATACAAAGACAGATCAGATTACATTTCCATTTGCAAATTTCTGCATCAGAGATAAACTACTTTGATCTGTAAGTAGACTTCGAATAAGCACAAATACCTATGAAATAGTTTTAAAATTTATATGCAATTGTATTACCAGTCACCCAGCTTCACACTTTTGCTTGTAAGTAGACTTTCTTCTAATTTGTGCTTTTTTGGCCTTTATTGTAGCTCCTTAAGTAAAAGCACTTTCAATAGCTGATCCTTCTGTTCATAGAATGTTTATTTACTCTGAAAGTAATCAGCCTTGCCCAGATGATATTGGTGAGTCTATTACTGCAGTGACAGTAACAGGCTTCAAATTTGTACTGGTTCATACAGAAATCAAAGGAAAGTGATTCAAGTAATACCAATTAAAGTCATTGAAGGTTTCTACTGTATTTTACAGCTTTCTACTGTATTTTAAATGTCAATAAAGAACAAGCATCACCATCTCCTTGACAGCAACAGCAGCAAAAGTATTACCTTGTATGAACTGAGAATCCCCAAACAAGTTAACAAATGTTACATTTTAGGAAAATTCGTGAAGACTTAGAAGCATCCAACACTAATTACTATTTTGGAATAGCTTAATGGAGCATATATATATATGTATGTATATATCTGTGTGTGTGTGTGTGTGTGTGTGTGTGTGTGTGTTGCAAGATATACTATGAAATTGATCATGCACAATTTTTAGAAAATTAGATTTTGGTGATTTTTTTAACACTCTCTTTTTACCACCAACTCTCCTCCTCTACCAAACTAGATATATCAACTGCTAAATTCATTTTATTGTACAACATAATATTATAGAATGCTTAGGTAAAAGACAAAAAAAAAGGACTCTTTTCAAACGTTACTGATCACATCTACTGCGACTAAAATACACAGAACTGTTTTTGGACTGTATTCAAGTTTATTTCTGGTCAGTCTTTCATCGCTGCTTGAATTCTTTCAGGTTCAAGGCACTCATATTGCTTGAGGAGTCCTCTACCCAAAATCAGTGCTACTCAGATTAAACCCATGCGTGTCCAAAATCACACATCCCAGTTGTATAGATCTGACCTTAATATAAATATTTTAATAAGCATTTAATTCATCAGTGTTATAATTCTGCATTTTCATACAGTTTTAATCTGGAGCTAAATACTCTAAAATAAAATTTTAGGCCAAAATTTTTAAGTGCATCCGTAGTTCATTTTCTTAGGGAAGGAAAAGGTCTTCAGTTTATTAAAGGGAGGGATAATGAACATGGAAGTGATAATGAGTTTCATTGAAGTACTTCACTTTAAGAAAAGTAACTAAATAAAAATATCATATTTCTTTGAGGTAAAGACCCTTTGGATCTGTGATAAGGGCTTAAAACGAATAAGGCAGCTTTATGTGTTTTGTCTACTGACACAAATAATGACTAAATTGACTTGTCATTTTTGCATCACCATGTCTCAGAGTTTTACACATTCTGAATGTCTAAATAAACTTTTGGAAACATATATCACTGGAAACTGTCCTTTGAGAATTTTAGGTAAGAAAAAGAATAATTGAGCCATAATGAATTAAGATCTATATGCAGGTCTAAATAAGGATATATGAGATCATCATTCCTTCTTCCACACTGCCTCTCCATAAAAAATGGCCAATTTCTACCATTTCTCACCTCATTGTCACTCTATTACATTATTAATCTAATCATCATTGTAATTTTGCTTTTATGAAAAAAAATGTGCTTGGGCTACAACTGCAGTGGTTTGTTTGTTTGTTTGTTTGTTTGTTCGTTTGGTTTGTTTTTAAAGACTATCACTATGTAGCCCAGGCTGGCCTCCAACACACAGTGATCCTCCTGCCTCAGCTTCCTGAGTGCTGGGATAACAGGTATGCATGACTATGTCTGGTTGCAACTGTATTAATTTTACAGTTTTTTAAAAAAAAAAAAAAACCTTTAGAAAATTAGATTTTGGTGATTTTTTTATTACCATTAATGTCTAAGACAATTTCCAGTGCCAATTAACATTATCTCACTTTTGAAGGTACTGTTGGGGTTGGGTTCCATTATGTTTCTATAGCTGGGTCTATGATAAGACCACATGACTCAGTTCTGGCTATTAGAGTCGCACAATGTCAGCAGCACTGATATGCACAACTTCTAAGGTGTACCCTTAAAACTGAAATCAGTACATGTTCGTCTGCCCTTTTCCTTTGATATTCTTCCTCCATCAGACTGCCTGGAATATAGACATGTAGTTTTCCAAGTTGGACTTTTAAAAACAAAGTAAAAGTTTCTGAATAAGAACAAAAATATGGGAGAAATAAGGACTCAGACACCTAGAATTATCTGTCTGCCTTGGCCTGCTTATGTTGGACCACATTTCTCTGTGTGTGAGTAAAATAAACTATCTTAAGTCAGTGTTTATTTGAGCTATTGTTACAATAATCAGGACCATAACCTGCTGTAATAGTACTGTCATAGCAGTTATACAAATAAGAAAATTTCAAAGATAATCCCGAAGTTTTATGTTAGAGGTGAGTGCTTCAGATTTGAGTGAAAACTGCTGTTTGGAGTTTTATCTGTTCCCTTTCTCTACCATACACAGAGATACACTCTGTGGCCAGGCAACAAGGATGAGTAACCAAAGAAACAAAAAAACCTGAAATATCCATGAATTAAATTATAGATTCTGACTCATTGTGAGAAATCAGTTTTATACATCTTGAAAATTTGAAGAAGAGTAGAATTTGAAAATTAAAAAAAGACATTTAAGCGTGTCATCTTATGGCAGTGGTAGTTGGAATTGAGAGCCTGATAATTACTCTGTGCTTTTTTGCAGTCAGGACTAGGTTATATGAGTCGCTGTACTCACAAGTCACAATGAATAAAATGATACAGATGTGATTATGTCATTTTTTAAGGCTATAAAATGAAGTTCTGGGGAATTAAGTAATGTGTTTTCTCCTGAGAGTGGTCTTTTGTCAGTCTTCTCAGTACTGTGCTGCTGCAGTATTTTGCTATGCTAAGATAAAATGGTGGGGCAGAATCTTAATAGCTGAAATAAATTAGAGATGTGTAGTCAGACAGAGACAATAGATAAGTAG